AGATGGATTTGTGCGCTATATAAAACTACACTATTATTATTTTTATTTAAAGTGCACATGAGCTAAATTGTGTACACTGGGTCTACGAATTATAGACCTTATTCGAGAAGACTTGCTTCACCACCAGAAACATAGGCAAGCATGCTGCTGGAGCCAGCGCAGATATTATGGCTGTATGTTGCGGCAACTTTTGCCTTTACCGTTCGGCCATTCGACTCGATTTTTATAGACAGTATTATGCTATTGAAAATTCGTAGAGCATGTTTCTGAATATGAAAATTTGAATCTATTAGTTAAATGCGAATACTTGAAGAACTTACCCGCAGAATCACAGACTTTTTCAGAGAGCTCAATTCTTGAGAAACGCTGATTTTTGGCACGGTTTTGACTGTAATAACAGAAGCCAGCCGTCTTACGCATCCTCTTGTTCCAAGTTATCTTAAAATCAGATGGCAGCTACAAAAGAAAAAAAAAATTAAACAGACTAAAAAATAAATATCTATACAAGTCAAGTGTGGCTGAGCATTAGGATTGTTTTTGATATGGTATTTTTGTATTAGCTTTTGATTTCTGTTTATGTCCTTCATAATTAATTGTTAATTCTTTGATTAATCTAAATGTTCCGACTCATATTCGCATTAAGTGTTTGCTCCACGTTTCTACGGTCTTGTTGATTGCAAAAAACGAGGCATTTTTCAGCGGTTACCTAACAAATTTAATAGTAATAATAATAATAATAATAATAATAATAATAATAATAATAATAATAATAATAATAATAATAATAATAATAAACTTTATATATACACATGTGGCCCAGGCTCAGCCAATGGCTGTTCTTCCCTGGGGCCATGTTAAAATACAATTTCGAACATTAAAACAGCACACAAAAAGTTAAGCAACAAACAAGATAAAAATTCTACAGCAAAAATAAAGACAATAAAACATAGTACGGTATAAATTAGAGGCAGGCAAATTTGCGAGATGTTATATAAAGTCTGCTTGTTACTTGTGATTTCGATCTCTTTTAATGTTCAAATGTTTTTAAAAGTAAAATTGTTAAATCTATGTGCTTTTTTAACATTTAACATTGTTGTTCACATATATTTTGTTATTGTTAGATTCAACTTGTTAGTGGCAGATTAATTTATCAGATAAATTAATCGCTGAATAAACTTTCATTAAGAAATTTGACAGCATCAATAGTGCTTTAATATTGATAAATTTGAAGTACATTTCTCTACAGGATACCATTGCTCCTTTACTTGACTCAATAGTTGCAAATTCTTTATCTATTGTTTCTGCTACTCATTTACAGCACTTATCTCTTGTTTTTGTTTTCATGCTGAAACACACACCTGATTGAAGCTGGCATTGACTGCCAGCGGAAGCTTGTGTCTAATAAAATTACATCTTTAAAGTTAGTCTCTGTGAACCTATGAAAATTCTATCATTTATATGCAGCTAATTTATGGGTCTATGTATAGAATATAGGCATTCTAGTATTTCTATGGTCTTAGTATACCCTTAGATTTCTGGCAGGAAATTTAATCTGTAAATAATCAAAAACTGTTTTTTCCCCTCAATTTGTGACTTATTAAAAGTTGATAAATTATGTGGTTCTTTTAAATGCGACCTTTAACATTTTGTTTTTGATGTTTTCAGTGGCAGTTATCTTTAAGTATACTATCATTATCATTTGTACAATCATTTACCTTATTTTCAAACACTGTATCATTGTAGATTATAAAGAGCTTCCTGATCAACTCGTCTCGTGTACTCTTGAAATTGTTAATATACGGTGATGACGAAGGAGTGCCCTTATACGGAGTGCTCAGAGATTTGAGAAACGACCTGGACTTAGGCGGAGAGGAAGAAACGGATGAAGAGGAGATAAAAGAGGACATTGTGCCAGATGTTTTGCCAGGAGTCTTAAATGTACCGGTAGAGTTGGTAGTCGCTTTGGGCTTCCTTTTGATGGATTTGGCACCGGGGGTTAGAAAGCCAATGGGAGTTTTGAAGACAGAATCGTTTCCTGAAATAAACAATAGAGGAAATGTAATTAAGATTTATTCCTTGTTACACAAGTTAAAATTATTGTGCAAGAAAAAAATCAGAAGTAATGATTACTTAAGAGAAAATGTCTTATTATGTTCTGCCTCTTTCTAAGACCTTTTATGGGTAAGTAGAGTAAAGCCGGACATTCTCTTCGGCTGACACTATTCTACGGAGAATGCAATGACACAACGCAATCACGACCATTTCAGACTGCCACCAGCAATCAGCAGACGGCTTAGCAACGTCTAGCTCTTACAGGCAGCGGAGTTGGAGTCGTCGCACTAAGGTCATGCGAACGCCGTACGATGGAGTGAGCGCCGGCTTATTACTCAGCAACAGACAACAGCCCACAAATTTAGTGCATGATTTTAAAGTTTTATAAATAACATAAAAGGGATTTGCCTCTTTCTGAAATTCATTCCAAAAAATTAACAAGGAATGAACATTTGCAATTACTGTGTCATATAATCTCCGGGTGCTTTCACTATTCGCACAAATTTGCTAAGTGTCAATCAAACTTAACAACCGACCAATCAGAATGTGTTATTCAATAACCAGGGGGTGGATTGCTATAAGCGGTGTTTAAACAGTCTTAATGCTTAGCCAGCTTAGATCGTGACGTCACTACTACTATGATTATAGACCATTGCTATACTACGGTACAACCAGTTAGCCGTCTTCAATTTTAAAGCCTACTCACAGGAGGCTTAAAACGGTCTTAAATAATTTTCATCATGGCGTTACAGATAATACGACCGCCGTGTGACGGTCTTGGCAGTCTGAACGGATCGTCATTAAAAACTATCCGTTGTGCACGTCATCGCATTCCATTCTTCGCGTAGGCCAACGACCATTGTGCGCACAGAGTGACTGGCTTTAGCGACAAAATCCAAGATGAGGTTCAGTGGAGCAGTCCATTGGCAACAGAAAACAGCGCACTTATTGAATGAATGAATTACATTCTATAAAGGCAAAGATTTTTAAATAATATAAAAAATAGTCTGAGAGATGCCTATTTATTCTTGTCTTCTTGACATCAACATTACTCAACTTCTAAAATAAAATTTAAAAAATCAACCTACCACTGATGTCCTTAGTATTTTTAGGCCCATTTGAATTAGTAAAGACACTGTTACCACTGGTTTTCGTTTTAATTCTAGGCCCCTTTGAAAAGACACTGTCGCTACTGAATTTCTTTTTATTTCTTGGCCACTGGCGAGTAATGAAGACACTGTCATCGTCATCAGAATCAGTATCAAAAGAGATAACTGCTGCTTCAGTCCTGAATTCTTTACTTGTCTTATTCTTAATAGAGAAAAAAAAATTGGGTTAAAATTTGTGCATATGATGCATTTCATATATCGAAAATTTTCACATATTAAATTTGTTTTATATATTTATTCTTACTGTTATTTATGGGGCCTTCATTTCTGAAGAAGCGCATCATACCATTTTCATTCACCTCTGAGCAAGTACCCATTTATACTTGTGAGTGAAGAGAGGTTAACATTGAAAAAGTGCCTTTCCTACGAACACAATTTAGTGTGACCTGCATCAACCTCTCAAATGCTAGCCTAAGACTTCCAGTAATGTTTTTGTCAAACAAAATTTAAGAGTCTGGACTGAGCTTTAAGTATGAAGCGCAAATAAGCACATTAGGCAAATTTTTTTTATTTCTTGTTTTGCGTACTAATTTTTTTTTTTAATTATCAGAGAAGGGCAGAATAACAATAAAATTTAAATTTTGTTTTCTTATTTAGCAAATAGTTTTGCCAAAATCATCAAGACGGAGGAGAAAATTAAAAAAAAAATTATTGGTGAATGTAAAATAGGATGGTTAAATACTTCAAATTTATATAATAAGGAAGAAAAATATTAAATATCTTATCTTTGGAGATTTCAAGGCAGTGGAGGGCGTAATGAAAATAAAGAAAAACTTTTATTTTTTTCTGAAATTTCCATTTTTTCGTGGAGGCGGGTGTGCTAATTGGCCAAAAATAAAATTTGACCATCTGCAGTAGGCAGGTTCCCTGAACAAGGTAAAAAAAAAGTCTCGCTCTATTGTCAGTACCATTGAGGGAGATGTGAAAACTTCAATGTTCTGAGACAGGCGGACATGTAGGAAATCATCATCTTCACTTGATAACGGGTTGTCATTCAGGAAGTTGTCATCGTCATCAATACAAACAATCTCATTTGCCTTTGTTTCTTTACTTGGTGTCCTTATACTAGCAAGAACTGAAACAAATAATTACATAGAAATAAACACTTTAATGTTAATGCATTTCAAAGATATACGTGATACAGGAATGCTGTTATTTATGTGCCTGTAAAGCCCTGTCGCAACTATCAAAAACATGTGATATGCCTTAATATGGTCATGATGACATCACATCATAATCTGTCTCTTATACACATCTAGATGTGTATAAGTATAATACATACTCCAAGTATTGAAATACACGCCATCGTGTTGGGATTCAATATTTCGACATTAATTATGTCATCATCAGGAATGATGTAATGTGATTCCTGATGATGACATAATTAATGTCGAAATATTGAATCCCAACACGATGGCGTGTATTTCAATACTTGGAGTATGTATTATACTTTCTTATCTGAGATTAATCAGTGGACCTTTCAAACACAATGATGTTAATGCATTTCAAAGATATACGTGAGACAGGAACGCTGTTATTTATGTGCCTGTAAAGCCCTGACGCAACTATCAAAAACATGTGACATGCCTTAATATGGTCATGATGACATCACATCATAATCATATATAGGCACATCATGACTATATATGGGCATACAACAGTTTTTTGTTAGTGTAGACAAAGCTTAATATAAACAAGGAAACAATTTTCATGTTCTAATTTCCAATTGAAAGCTAAACATTCAATTCTTTTTTCAAATTTATTAGTTTAAAACAGACTGCATACCTCACTGTATTACTTAATTATACAAAGCCTAGTGAATATGCATATTATATTAATTATTCATGAACATGCATGAGATGAAATAAAGTGATATTGTAAATTTCATAACATTCATGTTGATTTAAAAGAAATAATCTGTTGGCACCACTGTACAGTACATTCTACAATCCCAAATCATAATGCTATTCAGAACCATGTAAATTTGGTGCATTATTATATTTTGGTTTTGTTAGTATTTTTGCTAGTTAATAATGGCCATATATATACTATGCTGCCCTCTGGAGGCAGGCATGCACAGTATGGCTTGAATACAGGACTTAATGCATTTATATTTAACTGGTTCTTATTCCCAAGCACTGCTTGTAAAAAATTGTTTGGGTGTTGAAATATTACAATGTGTTGTACACAGGCCTGTGTGAAGTGTTGCAAAATTATTATTTAATCCGTGAAATCCGGTTGTTTATTTAAAATATATCTGTACAGTAATAAGCACTAGAACAAATTTTCAAGAGCAGCGGTTAATGAAAAAAAATGCTTGTATGGCGAACATTTAAGAGGGGCTTTTATTATTCGGTCAATTACTTTACACATAAACAATAGATGAGACTCATTAAAAGCAAAAGCTAAATGGTATGATTATATAGTCTAAACAAAATACTCTCAAAAAGCCTCTGTAGAGTACCACAGTGTTACGTCATGATACCATGTGATACTACTCCGTTGCTATTGTTGCAAAATGTGTTCAACCGGACACCATTTTCTTCACTGACAAACCATTGATCAACGTAATTATTAAGATGTTGTATCTTAGTTTTTTTTTGTAGATTTTAATTGATGATTAAATGTGTGTTCGATAATATAATGCGAGCTTTTGTGTTTTTAGTACATTTTGATGGTAAAATATTAGATATTTAGATGCCTATTCCAGAAAGCTTATGCAGGCAATCAGGCGTAATGAACGGTAACCAACATCTGGTTGGCAACAGAGGGCGCTACCTGGCTGTGGTACTATGGAAATTTTAAATTTTCAGGCATCAGAAGCTATGCCTTCATTGAAACGTTGAGTACAAAACCGTAAAGTACTTACACGATTCAAACTCATCCTCACTGCTACTGTCCAAGACATTTGAAGCCCTAGAAAAAAAATGTACTAGTATTTATTTATTTTTTTTTTATATAAGTAATGCCTAGTAATGATGTTTGTGGACTTGCATAGCACTGTACATAATATTATTAACAATCATTATAATAACAAAAAACTAATCATGGAACTCGTTATTACACTGGCTTAATCAAAAGGAAACTATCCAATTAAAATATAATCATTATAATATAGTAGTACTACATTTATCACAATCAACAAAGATTTTCAGTATTTAATAAGGGGACATGTGCAATGAATCCGACCACTGGTCGCCCAGTCATGCACTTATTTTTTATAACTTAGTTGCTATGTTATAATTGAAAAACAACAAATAAAAATCAAGTAACCTATATTTTGTTTCACTGGTTTGCTTGTCATCTTCACTTGATGTTTCTTTACCAGTTTTCCTCTTCCACTTGCTTTTCAATCTGTCCTTCAGACTCAAAATTCTATGACTCTCACAATCATCATCTGAATCATCTAATACTGTGTTAGTTTTATCTGTAACGTCTGATTTGATTGGTCGATTCACCTGAGAAGATGGCGAAAGAAGCCATTTCATTGGTTCTGGAGATTCTGTGAATTTTACTTGCGCAAAATCCTTTTCAGTGGAAGAGATACTTCTAGAATGTTTGATATCAAGACTTTCATTTAATTTACATTTTTGCGAGGAGTTGGGATTCTGGTCAGGACAAATTTCTGATAAATGATTTTCTGCTGGAGTAATAAAATCTTCATTCAATTCACTATCACTCTCAATTACATGATATTCTTTGACTGTATTTTTATTCTTGTGATAGTTTTGAGTATTACTACTTTCTGCTTCACTTATGTTTATATTCTTGTTGAACCTAAAAGAAAGGTCATCAAGCGAAAGGTTCACAGATTTTAATGCATTAGGTGGTGGACTTGGCCCATCGTCTTGACCACCTCGCACGACCACTGGGCTAACAGACCAGGACACATCTAAATGTGAAACCAATCCCTCTGATTGATTATTCCCCTCAATTTTATCATTCTTCCTACAATTAATGCGGACATTCGGGAGTGGGACATCCGAATCATAGAGCTCATCCAAATCTTGATCCAAAAGATCATTTGTAACTTTGCTTTCTCCAATAGGCTTCCTCTCAGGCACAATTTTAGAAATGTTTGTAACATCCTGATTGGTTCTGTTGCGGTTATGCCTTCCAGTGTTAGACCTACTGTCTTGTAACACAGCTGAAGCCTTCAAAGGAGTCAGCCCATTTTTTTCCTCTATAGAAAATATTTCAGAATCCTTTTCTTTATCTTTCTTTGATTTAGACTTCTTAGCACTGTGTCTGACTTTTGAGTGTTCTCTGCTTGTTGTTGTATCAGGATCGATATTTTCTTTGTTTGGTGGTTGTTTTTTTCGACTATACTTTCTTGTTTTTTTACGTTTGTTATCAGCGCTACTACAATCCTGAAAGATGTAATGAAATAAGTTATAAATGTATGTTAGTCTACTGAAAGATTAAAGGACAATGTAGGATTAAAATGAAGTATTTATTTTAATATACCTTCTCCTAGAACTCAAATATACTAGGGCAAGGGTAAGTAGCTGATTGTTAGTTGGTCAAACAAAAGAGTCATCATTCTTGTTGACTTTTACTAAGTTGATAAAAATCAAGATATGTACACCAATATTAAATCAAATAATTTTGTTATAATAAAAATATACCACACTGTTGCCTAAACTAGATAAAACCACTGATCTGTATCAGGATTGCTCATCGGCCAATCATTGTATAACATAGAAAAAAGTGGAGCCATTGGCATCTTGGTGGGTAGCCCAAGTGACATACTGCACAGGTTTAAGAGTAGACAAGTTTCTTGGCATTTCTTTAAATCATCGTTGCAATATTTTTTGACAATAATTTTTTTTAATAATAATTTTTGGCCAATGAGGCCATGTAAAATAAAATAATTGGTTAGCATCCCCTCCCTATCAAAGAGGCTACCGAACCGATTAAAAAAATTTTTTTTTTACAAAACACTCACAAACCCCATTTAATATAGGTTTGTGTACCACCCATCCCAAGCTATTCAAACCACTTGCAGTTCTATGCTCTACTGTTGATCGCTACTGTAGCCACATGGCACCATGATGCCTGTTGTGTTGGAGTGAATGCGTGATAGATAATTGCACTTTGACTGTTTTCATATAGGTAAAGTTTCTGCTAGCTATAGATGAATTACATAATATGAAATTTTGGTCTTTGTCGTTTTCTTCTTTGTTTTGCTGTTTTTCCTTTTTCATGTTCGACACGAGAAAAAAAAAAAAAAACCTCCCTCCCTAACTTTTTGTTGAAAATTGATAACATAATAAGGAAGCTAACCAATTTTTTTTTTTTCATAGGCTAGCCTAAATTAAGGATTTTTGTTCACATCATTTAACGACTCAATGATGTGCCTGTTTATGCAGTTTTGTTTACAAAAAAAGCGTAAGCGATGTCGGGTTGTTTGTCAATGTTTGTGCCCGTCACACAGCCAGGTTAAAAAATTTTGCGCTGCAGCCTGTGATAACATATCTGTGTCATGTGATGTTTTAGGCTCCCCAACACTGTGATTTTAGTAGCAATCAGTGGGTACAACATTAGCCCAGACCTCTAGGCTGGCCTAGTCGTCACCCTCCAGACTCCACGCACGTCCTCTTCTTATCACACACAAAGACAGTCACAACTGGCCTGGAAAGGCAACCAAGGCCTAGCTTTAAAAAGTTTATGAAATCATACCTGTAATTCAATTTGTTTTTCAAGCCACCCTAACTTGTTTGCTACACGATTATATAAAGCGTTAATGTCATCATCATCACCTTCTTTATCCATGTTTATTAGACTGACGATGGTTGTTGTACCACCTTCGGCCATTTTGAAATTACCTCCTTTTGTTTAGTGTGGCTGATGGGATAGCGTCATATATTTTTTCAGTAGATTTTAAACTGTCTTTGCAAGAAATATACATTTTTGATAAATATGATAAAAGTAAAATAAAATTATTCATACTAAGTTTATAAATAGTGCTTTAATAATATTTTTGTATGGTAATTTGATGTATATTTCAGAGTAATTTAAATATTTGATGTTCTACTTTTATGCGCACGCATACAAAGATTACCACCAATGAAAACAATTTAACTAGAAAGGAAACCCCCTGTATATTTTGACAAATATGGACCGCTAATGTTTGCAATTATTTCATCGTGCTTCAGAAAGGGAACACATTTGTTAAATATGCTTGGCATACGGAGTGAAATTTGAATGATTTGTTAAGCCAGACAAGTGTTAATAGCCGAAACAGTTAAGTATATGAATGGTATTAGAAAGTACATCTTGCTAAGCTAGTCGATCAAAATGGAGGGCAGTAAAATGACAACAGAGCCTCCATCCATCTTCAGCGTCTGTGTGTGTGTGTGGGTGGGAGGTACCTTTCGAGTGGAATCGTAAACAGCTGAGCGGAACTGGCGGCACCTTGCATCGATCTCTTTGTATGATTTTACACGTTTTAAAACGGAATACTTGTATCACTTTTAATATTTAAGTCAATAGGAATTTGTAACCTTAGACATTTGATATAAAAATGAAATGTGAATAAAAAAGAATAGTAGTACTAGTAGTAACTAACAATGAACATCGTCAACAAAATACTGCAAAACAACCTCAGTCACCAAAAACTAGGCCTAGGCTAGCCTTGTTGGGGCTAGGCCTAGATAACCTAGTACTAATACTATGACTACAATAGTACTCTCAGGCCCTAGGCTTAACCATGCAAACTACAGTAATGTACTTAGCTTAGCTGAGTTATTATGTTTAAAAAAAAAAGGATAAGGCATGACTAGGACGAGAGCCAACAATATAGAACTGATGATATACTTGTTGATATTTATTTTACTTAGGCCACGAGAATGAAAGGTTTGCATCCGAAAAATTTTGAAATGAGGTATTTTTTCATTATTCATTATTTTTTTTATAAATGCTGTCCACAAGCCGCGGCATTGGTAATCTTACATTTATTCCCAAGAAACAATGCTTACAGTCATAAATGTACACTAGCTCTTAAAACAGATCCTTTTCTACATTTAAGACCTCTTTAAAAGTGCTGGTTAGCCTCACTGCTGGAATTATGTACCTGTAGTTTGATAGAGAAAACTATTCCACTCGTTCATATGTAAATAGAGATCAAAGAACATATTGAATAGAAAGTAAAGATTACTCACGTTTGCTGTGAAATGCAAAGGAACGCTTCAGAGCACACATTGTGGAAATTGAACATACAAGATTTCCTATTGGTCAGAAAGATCGATTTGACCCGTAAATGACCTCAGCAGTGATCATCGGCGATCATGCCAGGCCTGCCTTCGCTCGGTGTTTGCGACGAGTGATCAGTGATGAATAGACTGATCGTTTTTCTGTCTGTTTACGACTTAGAAAGTCCGTTTTTTTAAAACGAAGTATTTTTTTTTTTGGAAATAATCAACTTTTCAAAATAATGAAAATTTTAGTGCGGTAGCTTTTTAGGCATGCGGGCGGTGGACGCAAACCTTATTTACTTGGTGTTTGGTTATTTGGCCCTCTATGCCTTGCGTAGGGCCCTCAGTCTTTTTATTGTAAAATAGCTAAAAGTGTTGGTACCATTTTAGGGTATTATTTCCCACATAGTTATTGTACACAGTACACTTTTATATAATTGGTAATTATATGTCATGAATCCTGCGAGGGTCGGCAACTACTGTAGGCTTACACTTTCTTTTAAGGAACCCACACTGGGTGGCGTCACTAATTTTTATTCCACTTGGAGGTCACTTGGTTACTAAAAAATGTTATAATCAAATTTTAAAATAATTTTTAATAATGGTAATTGAATCCCAGTGGGAATAGGAATTAATTTTCCTTTATTTATTACCTGACATCTTCCAATATTTTAAAACAGAATAAATAAATAAATAAAAAACACATTGAACGAACTCTAAGGCCCTTCCGTGGAGATTTGGAGAAAATTAGATCAGGAGAAATTTTGTATTTATTATGCAATATCTTGTATGTTTCTATAGAATATCAAAATTGCCCAGGAAAATTTTTTTTTGTAAAATAGCATCATTGATATAATACTGAATACGCATTGTATGCACAATTTTGTTACTATAAAAGCAGATGCTGTCAAAATGTTACATAAGAACAAGAACATGGAAGTAATTTTCATGATCAGAAATTCTTGTCATGATTTTGTCTGTTGGTTCCTAGCGCAGCAGGGCCCAGACTTGGTGCCTAGAACCTCAAGAAGACTGTGAAGTCAAGTGTTTGCAGAAAGCTGCTCCAGCTTACTGTGTTTTTTCTTAAGATTTTAAGAAAAAATATTTTTTCTTTTTAGGCTCAGAAATATATTTGAAGAACTGCCATAGGAAAATATAAACATGAATCCAGGAATGAACTGTAAGTATTGTTCATACTTCATCATCCAAATAAAAATATAAAATATAAAAAAACAAAGTAATAATGAAAAATGAACCATGTTAAGATGCTAAGAAGGTTATCTGTTTCAAAAAGGGTTTATTAAAAACTAGCAGATTAATATTATCATCATCATAGGCCCAATAATTAGTTTATCATGCGTATGTCTTCTATGGTACTGTAAAAAAAAAATTTTTTTTTTTGAATAACATTTTTTTTGAAAAAAAGAAAATTTGGAAAATTTTTTTTATTTTATTTATTTATTTTTTTCATTTATATTATTAAATAGTTAGTAGATATTGTTTGCATTATTTAAATCATGTTTTACTTTGAATATCAATGCACCAGCAAACAACCCAAAGGTGATATTTGGCTTTAGCAAAATAAAAAATTTGAAAAAAATCCTCCCTCCCTCATCACTTTTCCTGCCCACATAAGGTGATAAATTAATAATATTTTTTATAGGGCCTAATCAACTGTTTTTGCCACTTGTGCAGAGGACTAGCCCATCTATGTTTCATATTGATTTAATTAATAACCATATAATAATGAATATTTCTGATTTCTTCAGTGGACCAAATGATGATAACACCGGATCTTTTTACCGGCCCATTTAATGGGGAAATCTCCGGAAGGACAACAAGCAAGTTTCAGCATCTTATGCAGGTATGTTGTTGCTCTAACAGACCAGTTAGCAGGTGCATTCTCCCCCGAAAAAACTTTGCACATTCTTTCCTCCACTATTAAAAATGTCTGGATCGAAAATATCACGCTCATGTCACCTTATTTTGCGACCTAACACCCTCTCACTTAATCATCAAGCCCCTCCCCTCACTCCACCTTGTTTCACCCTCTTCAATTCCTAGATACACCACTGCTAATTAGCACCACTAAAATACATATTGCATAAAAGCATTTAGACACAATAAAGAAGATGATGAATGCAGAATAGTGTCAATTTGCGAGGGTCAGAAATGATAACGTTCGTTCCAAGCTACAGCCTAGCTGTCCACCGTTACGCGTTAAGTGATAAAGCTAATATGTAATTACATTAAGTATTTATAATTGGCAGTCACATAGCAAATTTCATTAAAGTAATCATATCTTACATTATTCATCGTATTGACACAACTTCTGTGTGTATTGTATTTAAAGCTGTTCAGACAATTAAATTATATTTGACAAAAAAACTTGTAGCCATGATGTGCCTTATATGGTCGTGGTTTGATATCATCATCACCATATTTAGGCATTTAAAAAATAGAATTTGATAGCGTGGGTAGAACTTTGGACTGATAATAAACTGAATGGAGTAGAGCCGGGCAATCGGTGCGCTCAACGGTCGTCAGCCGACGCGATTCTACAAAGAGCTCAACAACACGCGTGCAACAGATCGTTTTTAATGGCATTCCGTTTAGACTGCCACCAAAGTCAACTAGTGCCTACGGGGAGTGGAGTTAGATTCGTTGGCTGACAGTCATGCGACCGCCTTACGACTCAGTGAATGTCCGGCTTTGGTTGGTGAGTTAAGCCGGCACATGCTACATCAGCTACAGTAGTGGTCGCTCGGCCGGGTTTACACTCGGCCAACAAATCCTTCTCTGCTTTTTTTTGTGTGACCACTTGATGACCCAATACCGTCTGTTGTAAATAACAGTTACAGCGTGAGCAGATTATCTTTAAACACAATTTGTCACATGTGACGCATCATATTTGTAAACTCTGTGGAATCGCTTTGGCCAAAGCTTTGTGCGCCAGCCTGGTTTCCTTAAAATGGCCAAACTGTCATTACAGTGTTTTTAGTAATGAAGAGGCAGCTTTCTCAGACTAACTGTAAAGATGTAATTTTATTGGACACAAGCTTTCGCTGGCAGTCAATGCCAGCTTCATCAGGGGTGTGAATTGTAACAAGAACAAACAGAAAGGAAATAAGATAGTATAATACATACTCCAAGTATAGAAATGCTCGCCATCATGTCGAGATTCAATATTTCGTCATTAATTTTGTCATCAGGAATGATCATCATCACTTGGAGTATGTATTATACTATCTTATCTGAGATTAATCAGTAGACCTTTCGGTTTTTGAGAGGAAATAACTTATGCATAACTAATTTGGTTTATCATGAATTAGCTAATTGCTGTAATTGAGTAGATAAACAATCTCACTAAAGAATCAACAGGCAATGGTATGAAGTACAGAAGTAAAAATTACATTTTGTAATGACTAAGAGAGCCTAGATCAGTATTAAGGCCACTGTTAATGCTGTCAAATTTCTTAATGAAAATTTGTTCAGCAATCAGTCTATCTGTTATGTTTTTAAAACAATTAGAGAGATAAGATAGATAAAATAAGCTTTATTGGTCTATTCGCATATAAAAATACATAAACAGAAATGTTTCTTGAATCTGGCATAATAAACACACACACATCAACACCAACAAACATCAAATTACAAAAGCAAAGAAATTGTAACACATCTACTCATTACATAATTTAAATATTATATATATAAATTTTTTAAATATTAAATGTTAATAAAAATTATAGTTATTACAAAAAATTTCATTTACAAAAAATTGAATTGAATATTGATTAAAATTATAATTATTTTCCGAAAAAATTTTATTTACAATAAATTGAAAAGAATTCAATATCAAAAATATCAATTGCAGTTCAAATATATATCAAAAATATAAAAATTTATTTGGATGAATAAGATGTGATTATATTCTATAAAGGCCAAATATTTCTTTCTAACTTGCTTGTCCCTTTCACTTTTGCCATGCCTGTTGTAATCTATCGTCATAAAAATAGATACAAGGTTTCTGTTTGATTAAGACTTCAGTATTCAAGATTCTTTATGGTACAGAACATGGAGTTTGCTTCCAAGATGTGTGAATAATATTTGCTTCAATTACACCCACACATGGAACATGAACAGTGGTATAGCCCTTAGAGCATTTTAAAATGAGTCGTTAATTGAGCACTGTAGACCTACGCATTGCACAATATCTTTTGCAGTCATTACTATTAGGCAGAGTGTTATCATGTGCACTGAAGCGTAACATATCTGCTCACTGCTTGATTACTTTTCTATTTTCAGAATTCGCATCCGACAACAACTGGAGGAGGAGATCCTGTTCCTAGGGATCCATCTATATTCATGCCATCAAGCCTAGGTACGTAGAAGCCAGAAACAAATTTTTGGCGAAAATTTTTTTTTTCCCCAACTTAATACAAAATTTACATTATTAATTTTATGACATATGAGTATTAAATGTATTAACATTTTCTTTCATCTTTGCAGAATTAATGAATTTAAATCAACTCAAAAAGTCAATTGTTAATTCGTCCAGTTTCATTTTACGATTTTAAAGATTTCCGCATTAAAACAAACTTTTACCAAAACATGAGTATTATTTACAAAAAATAGAAAAATAACAGGAAACATGGGTAGTAGTAAGTACCTTATTCAGGGTCATGAAATCACAAATATGTATCTCTAGCAATTATAATTTTTTTTTATTGTGGAATACTTTTCCTGGTTAATGCAGTAAATACATAATCAAGATAGACTCGATACTTATGACTTTCCTCTATTCCAATATTATCCTAGAGGTGTTATTGACATTTTTCCCTTCATCCCAGAGGAACAAGTAATTTGTATTCATATATATATATATAGGTCATTTTATTATCTAGCTTTGTTAAGTTTATTTCTTAAAAATAAAATCTTTCTCTTACGCCCCGTAGCATAATCCATCTCAGTGGAATCAAGATAATATGATTATTCAGATCCATCCTTTAAGGTTAAATCCAATTTTTAGAAACCACAATCCCATTATGCCTTGCTCTGAGTGCATCAATTAACGCAACACGAATATGGCTCATTATACAATTGACATCACATAGATAAAAGTAAATTAAAGTGCATATTAAGTAAACATGTCTGTAAGGTACTTAATTACTTAAGCACTGTTCACGCTATCAGTTTTTATGTGACTAATAAGTAATGGCTATGATGATGTCATATACCCATATATGGCTAAATCATCTGTATTTTTCACTTATGATGTGGTAGGTAGTGCGATAAGACCTTACACTGTACCTGTGTTGTGCTAAAAAAAATCTATTATTAACTTTCAATTAAAAAATTAGAACTAGAAAATATTTTCATTATTAACCCTTTCACCTACAAGTTTCATAAACAAATTTTCATTTTTTTTTGTAACAGAAATATAATTAAATATCAATTTTTAATTTTTGGTAAACAACCAAGATGGCTTAGGCAGAATTGAAAGCCACGTTGTGTTTTTTCAGCCACAAAAAAATATTAATTTTACGTGGAAATATGTGGATATAATAATCAAAACTGGTACTGTATGTATATTGAATATATATTTATTGTCGGAAAGTGTCAGAATAGTTGTTTTTTGAAAATAAAGTGTATTTTTAGACGATTTATTCATCAGTGTTGATGGCGGAGCCTTCCTGTTCAGGGGTATCATATTAACAAAAACAACGATCATATTTCATATTTTTAATTACTCTAATCATTCAAATTAATTAAAAATGCAATAAGAAACATTTTTTAATAACAATTATTGATGTTTTTTTGAACATTAATAATAGTGAAAATACATGCACACAATACTGCACATACAATTTTTTAAAAATTATTGTTAATTAATTAATTAATTACGATAATTGGCGAGCGCTTCAGGCACTTCTGTAAGTGAAAGGGTTAACAGATACATAAATAATTACTGGTGTTCTTTGGGTATAAGCCCATCTCGTGCATAAGCCCACCCCTAATTTATGCCCAATTTTATGTACTAGCCTTTTCCAAGCATAAGCCTAGGGTATGATTTTACAACTATTCTCTGGAAAAAATATCTACTAATGGCTTTGAATTAGATACAAGGTACAAGATAACTTTATTGTCTGAAAAGGAAATTACATCTGGACATAATACATCGCATGCAAAATTTAAAAAGTCAAACATATAAATATAAAGGAAGTTTTAGGCATACTTTGCTGAAAAATTGCCATTTGAGTCAAAAGGGGATTCCTTGGGTATAAGCCAACCACCAAAAATTTGCCCAGTTTTGTGTTCAAGAGCAGTTTTATAATAATAATAATAATAATAATAATAATATTATAGAGATTTATACCGCAGCTTTTGCCAAGGAATACAAGACACTGGCAATGTTGTTATTATTACCCCTGGTCATCGGATCCATAATCAAACCAGTACAAAGTGCAACCTACTCCACTCCCGGAGGAGTATTCCTAGTCGTTCCTGCAATTTAATGCTGATACAGACTAAAGCATACAGTGCCACATCATCCTACCAGGTACCTATTTATATTCGTGGGTGGAGAGAGGCAAACGTAAGCAAAGTGCCTTGCCCAAGGACACAACCAATGCAACGAGCGTCCGTCTTGAACCCCCAACCTCACGATGAGAATCGAACACCTTACACTCTCCGCCTCGCACTCCTACCCGGGAAAATTTCTATTTAATTTTTTGCATACACCCTATGAAAACCTGTTACAATACTCAAATTTAACATATTTCCGACATCTTTTTTCACTATTCTCGGCGTCAGACTCCCTTTATCTTCACTTCCTTAACTTCAGAATTTCATTTATGCCTCTTGTGAACATAAAAATGTTTTATTTTACGGAAGTAATTAATATAAAATTAGATATCATTCACACCTCATATTTTCAGAACTTGTTTTAAAAGAAAGTAATATAAAAAAACTATTCAATCCAGTTAATATTTTTACTTATAAATATTGACAACAGCCTGGAAATAATTGAGGGTAGGAATTTGTGCAGGTAATAATAGTTTGGCTTTATTTTAAAGAAATAATATTAACAATTAAGTATCATTAACACCATATATTTTCAGAATTAGTTGTAAAAAAAAAGTAATATATACTGTAAGACTATACAAATGAATTAATTTTTGTACTTGTACTCATAAATTTTGACCAGCCTGGAAATAATTATGAGGGTAGGAATATGTACAAGTAATGGCTTGGTTTTATGATACTGTACGAAAGACAAAGGTTTTAATGAATGATAAACCAAGAAGGGCTTACATGAATTAAAGATAAATGGCTGACTGTATAAGAAGTCAACTGAGGTTTTAAGTAAATGAGAGACCTAGTGCTAAGTGAAACCAGGGGTGGATTGTTATAAGTGGTCTTAGACGGTCTTAACGCTTAGCCGGCATTAATTGTGATGTAACTACTGGTCTATGATTGTACTGGTCTATGATTATAGACCATTGCTATACTGCCGTCTAACCAGTTAGCTGTCTTAAATTTTAAGGCCTACACAGAGGATGCTTAAAACGGTCTTAAATCATTTTCATCATGGCGTTGCAGGTACTAGACCTAGGCCTAGATTGTCAAAGACTAAGAATCAAAGGATGAACATTCCGCAAGATTGTCGGCATCTGTAATAACCGGTCTACATTATGTTTATTTTGATAAATATGCATGTTTTGAGCAAGCGTAACAGCGCCCATAATTTTATGTTACCATGGAGTATTTGTTGGTGTTTCCATACTCAAAGCGGTCTATGCGAAGACCGTTTTATAGCAATGGTCTTAGCAGAGTGACTTTAGTAAGACCGTTTAAGTGATAGAGCCAGCTTTTAAGACCGTCTTATAGCAATCCACCCAAGGGGCTAAGCGAATGAGAGACCAACAATGACTAAACGAACGAGAGAACACAAAGGCTAAATCGAATCAGATACCCAAAGTCTACCGTAATCAATCCAGTATAGTACAGTACTTACTAGATAAAATACTTCTAGTTTCTTCGTTTTTAATGTCATTCAGTTGATGACAAGTGATAAGTACTGATTAATGTCTTCTTTCCATGGTACAAATTGACAAATTACCATTAGGAAAACATTAATGTGTTATGTGACTAAGAGTGGGTGTTTAGCGCAAAAAATTCTAGTCTAGCATTAGTAAATACTTGTATTGAAAATTATTTATTATTATGAATAATAGTACTTTTATAATAAATATTCAAAAGAAAATTAACATTTCTACGCCATCATTATTTGAACTTGACCCGTTATATTTCTTAGTATCATTATTATTATTATTATTTTTATTATTAATAACATTATTATCATTATTATTATTTCACTATTAATATTATTATTTTTATTATTATTTTATCATTATTAATTATTATTAATTATTTTTATTATTATATCTACAGTACTGTAGACAACTTTTTTATCATCTTATTTTTGTTCCCCTAAATTTGGTTCATTAAATAACGTACAGGAAATTTAAAAGAGCTAAAGGTATGGTTTGTATGAATTTTTTATGTGTTGCAGGATCAACTAACATAGTGAGTGAAGACCAGCTGTCAAGTCATTTTAGTGGTATGAGTATGGGTCAGATGCGTGGACGAGATGTCATGATGCACGGGGTAAGTCCTGTTAGTTGGAGCTTTGTATCTGTATGTGAAGATTATCGCTACAGAACTGTGCCGCATTCATTAATGTGACAAAATTTGTTCGAAATTTATTGCGACAAGGTCTATTCACACTATCAATTTTTATGCGGCAAATGCCTTTGATTTGCCAAGAATATGAACAAGGCTATTATATAATATAATGTCCAAATTATATAGGAAAGCACCAATTTTATCACATAAATTTGTATCTATAGAGCTTTTATCGAGTTTGTCGATTACAAATCTGGTTCTAAAAGCTTTATGTTCTTTTCTAAAATTAACGGTCTTCTGCCAGTCTTTTGTAGTTGTAACTACCGCTCTGTAGGTCATCCCGTACTCCCTTCCTTTTTGAGATATGCTCTCTTAATCAGGTACATTAGGATGCTCTCACATATTTTTTTTACCTCACGTACTACTTTACTGTTATTGTTAATATAATTGTATTTGATAATAGTAACAATAAATCTTTATTTGTTCTCAAATGTAATAAACGCGGGGGACTTGCAGCACCTACAGTGTAGCGCCCTCAACTTAAATCTACTACATATATTCGCAGTGGATATAAACATGGTCTTTAACTCTCCTGAAAGGGTTGTTCAGAGAGCAGATCATTTATAAACGACTTAAATTCAATACTCAACTACAGAGCCGGATCTCGAACCCGGCGCCCTGACGTGCTAGAGGCAGGAACCATACCAATCAACCATATTCTCAGCTCATATTTTGTTATATTTAGTTCTCCTTCACCAGATGCTTTTGCAGAACACTATATGTGAAAACAAGATAATAGGGTACAACAAACATATGTATATTATTTATTTTAAATAATTAATTTAGTCACATGATTAATATTAAATACAATAATAATAATAATAATAATAATAATGATCATGTATAAATTTGGCATATTTTGTATTTAATACATTATGATTGACAGGATTTTATAGAAAATGTTCATAAAAAATAATAAATGAAAAAATATTTTTTTTCATAACTAAAAATTACTCCACTTAATAAGCATCATACTAAGACTCAACATCAATATTCATTCCAATCTGTATAGTGAGTCTATTTCCTTCTCGATGAATGAGAAAGAAAAAAATTAATAATGACATTCAATAAACACAGAGCTACTGTATTAGTGCTGTCTACTGTCCATTCAGCGCAATCTAAGCTAGCGGAAATAATGTGTATGTCGGGGGCTCGTTTGACTATAATGTAATTAAACTTTAATTAGCCTCAACATGATGGGTATTCTTTGTTGTATTATATTCATATTTGTCTCATTCTTTTTCAAAATTGTTCCAATTTTTAAAATAAAATCAATTTTTTTGGAATTCCTACTTTACCAGTACTATTAAGAAAACTGTCTATTCGAAATGGAATTTAAATTTTTTTTTTTATCTCCTACTTTAATACAAGTTCTATTAAGAAAAATGTCTATTCAAAATAGATTTTTTAGGATTTCGTGAATATGCTAATTTCTCATTTGCATATTTAATATTCTTTTCCATAGGCCTATACATTCAAAAAAGCTCAATTTCATTGAGAGTATTAGTTGATCTGGTGTGTTAATAAGCTGTGATAAGAAAGAAATCTACTTTGCCAGTAAAGAAAAATTTCTATTCCAAATGATTAGAGATTTATCTATTTAGGCAACAAGAAAATGTTAATTGCTCATTTGCATAATTTAATCTGATTCCCTTTACTGCATTCAGAAAGGCTTAAATTCATTGAGAGTATTAGTTGATCTGGTGTGTTATTAAAATGTTAATAGAGAAATCAGGCCTTAAAGATTAATGTAATGCCTATTTAATTGCACTACCTTCTGCTGTAGTACCATGTAGCGTTCAGCGGGTAAGCTAGCGGAAATAAAATAGAAACTATACTACTGCTTGTTCGGCTACTTAAATATTATACAATATGAAATCCGGGGAAAAAAAAAAATGATTAAAAGTACAACATTGGATTGCTAATTCTTAAAACATTATCAACATCCAATTTGACACAGAAATTAAATGATTTACTGTAAATGTCTGTGAACATTTTTAAACTAATAAATAACCAATTATGGTTTTCAATAAATGTAGTTGTATCTTTATTTAGTTTTATCTAAATATGTAATTTTAGTAAGTACTTTTGAATTGAAACTTTCTATATGCTGGTATTATGAGATTACAAAGTAAAACTAAAGCCATAAACAACAACATGTATAGTATAAATTTCAATCTTTTTTAGCTTTGATAGATAATTTTTTATAGTTACCTTTTTTTTTTAATACTATTGTGTTACTATAATTTAATTAGCAAAATTTATTCAATTGGTTAACCACAATGTGCGTGTGTTACAGTTTTTTATTTATTATAGCTTAGTTCATTATGTCTTCAATTATTAATGTGGTGCAATCAATTATACAGTATACATTTATTGGTAAATTGTTAAACTGATGAATGTAGGTTTTTACAGTATGTAAAGTTAAATTTAACTAGAATAGGGAATATTTCACCAGACTTTCTTTAACTCATTAATAATTGTTTATGTTATACCTTTAGTAGCTGATTTAAACATAGTAAAATAAATAAAATCACATCAACAGCTACTAGACTACTGTACATTGTGATATCACTGATTTTCTGAACAAACAAATAAATTTAATAAAAGGAAGATTTTTTTTTTATCGGCATTTGTGCCTGACTGCCACCTATTGTATTTAGGTTTACAGTTGTAAAAGTGTACTGTGCTTTAAAATGCCAAAGTTCATTTGTTTTCCCTATTAACTGTTGTATAGTGTTCAATTCCACATTTTGTATTGTTTACCCATCGTTACTATTCTTTTATACACATTAGCTAGTTAGTTAATATTGATTACTTTGTTATTACATCATAAATAGCATCACGCTACCAAGAATATGCCCACGTAAAAAGCCAAGATGGCCTTCTTTTGTTGTGTTATGCAACACTGCACTCGCAGAGACCCAATACACAGCTTATAAAAGCAGCTTTTTCATTGTAACTAACTGCCAGTGGTTTTTTTTTTTTTACTTTTTGACCTTTACGTTTTGTACTTGATGTGGTTTTCCCTTTCATTATGATATTGATTGATAAGATAAGCTAAAAATTACATGCTTTCTGTTATTGAGGAGTTTTGTTTTTAAATATTTCTAGATACTAACTGTGATTTTTTTTGTCACTGAGTAAATTGCTTTTTTTTTTGTTGAATGTTGCATGGAATTTGTTTAAAACATAAGTCTCTATTTGTTTTTATGTGTTTTAAATATCTAATATTGTAATGTTATTTTATATTTTAACTTACAGTTCTTTTACATTTTACCTCAATATTAATAATTTATTTATTCTATTTTTATTATTTGTGGTTTGGTATATTCTTCATTTTTCTGTTTATTTTAAAGTCAAAGTAAAGTAAATTTCCAGTTTTACCATTGTACAGTAAAATTATTTTACCGGTATATCTTATGATAATGCTGTGCATTTACAGAATTGTTTAATACATTTTTCAATTTTCAAGAATCTTTTATTGTCTATATTACTGTATAATTCAATGTATTCAATTTAATTTTTCCTTTATTGAAAAGATACAAGCTACAAAATAACAAAATATACAAAACAAAAATATATCAAAGATTAATAAGAAATATTATAGCTTTGCCTTTTACATAAATCAAATGAAAATAACAAATAGATACAATTCAACAACAAAAAATATATCACTTTTAAAATTATTTATATTTTTAAAAAAAATCATAATTGGGGTTGTTTACTTCATAGATGCCAAATCCTAAAGCAACCAAACTCATTCTGGGTATGCGGGACAACATTTTCAAGGCGTGCAGGGGTCACACAAAGATTAATAAGAAATATAATAGTTACAGCTTTGCCTTTTACATAAATGAAATGAAAATATACAAATAGATACAATTCAACAACAAAAAATATCACTTTTAAAATTATTTATATTAAAAAAAAATTCATAATTGTCATTGTTTACTTCCACAGATGCCAAATCCTAAAGCATCCGAATTCATTCCGGGTATGCAGGGACAACATGTTCAAGGCGTGCCGGGGTCACACACCTCGGAATTTCTTCCAGGCACACGGAATGTGCCCACAACAACAACAACAACGTTTTCGGAGATCCCGGAATTTGTGCCGCGCGGACATATAACGTCTTCCCACATGCAAAGATCTGGAGGTATGCTTCGCCCAAGCGTGAGCGCCACATCATTAACGTCGATGGGTTCATCCGAGGCACATGGCCCATACAGTGTTCAGATCGGAATGGGCTTGAAGACAAGCGCAAGTTCAACGGCCTTGACGACCCTTGGCAGTGACCTAACAGCCGGTAAATCTATTTAATTTTTTAGTCAAGAGAAAAAAAAGTGAAGGAGCCTAAAAAGAAAGTAGAGCTTGCTCAAAAAAAAAAATAAATAAATAAATAAGTAAATAAGAAAAATTACATAAAAAATATAACTTATTTTAAACAAACAGAAAAAAAAACAAGTATCCAAATCATTTATAGAATGTACAAATAAAGGTAAGGAAAGTAAAGGTTACAATAATATTCTCTTAAATTAGTATTCATTTTATTTTTTAAGTAATTCTATCAATTAAAATGTAGAAATAACAATTTAAATTTATTAAATGATATGCAATTTAAAATTTAGTTTATATTTTCTGTTTAAACAAGACAAGTGCAGACAAAGTCTTCCAAAACATTATGAAATTGAACAACACTTATATAAAATGTTTGCTTTTGAAATTATTGATGATGTAGTGTGTAATTATTTTTTTATATATGAGGCATGTTGTGGCAAAATGGCTAAGTTGTAGCAAAAATTGAAATTCAAGTTATTGGTATTTTCAGATACCTGAGTATGTGATCTTTAAAATAAGGGGTCATTCATTCAAATTGCACATTTCAAGCCTAAGTTATTGGAAAGTGAAAGTACAGTACTCTTAGAATCAAGATAAACATGATTTTGCCTTTCAAAGTTATTTATGCATACATTGTTTAATCTGGGAACAGTGAAATTACACAGTGTAATTTCACTGTTCCCTGGTTTAATAGAATGAACTATCAAAATAACATTAAATAAACAATTTGTTGACCACTTCCAGAAATAATACTTTGGTATGATTAATTAAAGACATTAAACTGTTGACCTATAGTGAAAAACAAATTTGGATTTTTAGGCAATTTTTTTAGCTCCCATATTTTATAGCTCATTTACTCAATCCTGACCTGTGTAACAACTTAAGCATTTCGCCACAACATGCCTCAATTTTGTTGTAATACTGTAATTGTTTTTATTATCTTTTATTGTTGTCGTTGCTTTGGATCATTTAAAATCCTCTTTTTGCAGTGTTAAGTGTCTTTCACCACTTAAAAAACTTAAACAACCTTAATTTCGAACTTTTTGTCTTCAAAATCGGTGATGTTGAAACTTGTAATTATTGTTCATGTGAATTATGTGATACTATTATTTGTTATTGTAATTATCTTGTATTGTTACTGCTTCATTTAAATCCGATTTTACTATTTGCTCTTCTGTAGGATCATTATCTGCGGGTGCATCTCCGCTTCATTCACCAGCTCACTCACCTGGAACCAGGCGGAAAGAGCTGAATAAACATGGTTCGCAGGATCCTAGTTCCAGTGGGAAAGCAACGATACAAGAAAACATCGGTGGAACAACATATTTCTACACGGAACAGCAATTATCACAGGAAGCAAGTCAACTCAGCGGTCTGGTAAGTAGATTATGGGTAAGAACGGTAAGATCTAGATCATAATCATGTCACTGATCATCATCTACAAAGGTTCACGAGACATAGTCTCGCATAACTTTGGTTCTTTTTTCTCATTAATACAAAAGGTTGTATTATAAGTCATGTAAATTTGGTTCTTTATTCTCATTAATACAAAAGGTTATAAACCTTTCATGATATTTCTCTAAGTTTTTAATATACTGTTTGTGTTTATCTAATAAATCCAATATTCCAATTATATATAATTGTAAGTTTTAGTTATTGACTTTTAATTGCGAATATCATACCGGATCAATAACAAATTTCATGTTTTAAAAACAAAATTATGTTTATTTTTTGTAGCGGTTTGCCGCCGTGTGGATGGTTGTTTTTCCAACATTGATCATTTCAATACTTCCTGTGCATTTTGCTATTTTTCTTTGAGCAAGGCATTGTTTCTGTCTATTTCTCTCCGCCCAGACATAAATGGGTACCTTATGGGGTAGCCTTCTCCTCTGCTGATTACAGTAGCAGTCCTTAAGCAAGTTGACCAACGACCTAGGAAAATGGGACTTCTTATTTGAAAAGAAAGGCATAAATAAAAGAATAAAGATAACTTCATTTTTATTTTTTATTCAGGTGCTTCCTAATTTCCACATGTATCCATCGGTGCCCCCTCATGTGGCATATATGAAGCAGAAGCCCCATGGTCCGTCATTCTTCATGGGGGAGGACATTAAGGTGGACATTCTCCACAGACATCTGGTGACACTTGCCCAGATAGACCCAGCAGAACATCCTGGTGAGTTTAGAAAATATGTTCTTTACATTTCTTTTAATAGTTGAGTGGTATTAGTCATTATTACTAGTTCATCATCAGTCTTATCACCATTAATCATCATGTTTCTCAACATTTCGATCAATGTCATTATCATCATTATCCTATTCATTGTCATCATCATTATTATCATCTAAATCAACATCATCTTTATCATCTTCTATATCTTTATAATTAGCGTCATCATTATCTTCGTCATCTGGTTCCATCCCACTGAGCTACTCTTGTAAAATACAGATTATACCTTCTTTTGAGAAAGCCATCTTGCGAGAAAGAGTGAGCTGTATTAAGTCATTGCAGCCATTGGCAGGTCCATGAATTCCAAATACAAGGGATTGAAGCCAGAGAGGGACTTTTAGAGTACTGAAGGTCTATACCACCTCATCCCCACCATGGTTGGGGTTGAGGTACAAATTCTTGTGGCTATGGCACATCTAGATGGCCAAAAATGGCTGGTGGCTCAAAGTGCATTCTTTAAAAAAGCGCAGAGATTTTGTCTCCAATGCAAGACTGGTCCTACAGCCACGTTCATCACCAGAAGGGGCATTACAACTGCAGTTTCACAGAGTTCCCGTTAACCAAGGCACTAACATAATTTTGTTTTGGTTAGGTAGTTGTAACTATTTTTTGTTTTTTTTTAATTTTCTACTGATGCTAATAATGATTATGTTTCTCTTTCTTACCCCCAGACATTCCACAGGAGGTTGATAAGTACCACACACTCTACCCCCTGGAGGTTGCCCCCAAGGGGCCCATGGACAAAAATAGTACATTTGGCTACAGTACACAGTGTTTCAAGGCAGTTAACAGTAAAGACAATAAGACATACTGCTTACGTAGAGTCATAGGTCAGTTGAATACCAAAAAAACTTATATATTTACAAGAAATAAACGATTAGTATAGTTGTATTCCATACACGAAGGGACATTTTTAGTACACATTACTTGAAATAATTCTTAAGGCCTGCTGATAATTTTTAAGTGCACTAATTCCCGTGAAGTATGTATGGAGAACACTTATTCTAATCAGTTGGTCACGCATCATTAACTTCATTCATTGTGAGGGCGCATGTCATGGGTAATGGCCGAAATTTAACAATTTTTTATGTGTTGAAAACGTGGTTATTTTGGCACTAAATGTTATTAAAAAAAACTAGTTTGAATAACTAAACTACAAGTTTAAATGATGATTAAAACTAAGATTTCGGTTCAACATTTTTTTGGTATCGAAAAATATTGATATTTTAGGCTTCAATTCAACATACGATTTTTTTACAAAATGGAAGGCCAAAACTCATTAAATTTCACATTTTCTACACAAGGTACAAACGATGATGGAGGTTGTATGGTGTCATAAAATATGTAAGATCCCATAAAAAAAAATTATAGTTTATCACCCACTCCCTCATCACTTTTGGGAAAATTCTGATTTAAAAAAAAAAATCAACATATATTTGTCAAACGATCATTTTTCCTACTTTTTTCACTTGAAAAGCTCAGGATTTCTTGCAAATATGTTTACTGGTACAACAAAAACATATTTTTTATATAAATTTGATTTGAATATAATATATTTTTCCTTAACTATTAATTTACTAGCAAAAAAGGGGTAGGTTTAGGTAAAATAAAAACCTCCCTTACTAATATTTTTATTCTTTGATAGGGTGATCTAATACATTATTAATGGGGCCTAATGTATTGTATTAATTATAACACAACTACACTCTCACACAAAACTACCTTATGACAACTTAAAGAAAGAAGTGAAGATTTGAAATAATTAAGGTCCATACTTTTAATTATTAAGACAAAGCTATATCAGAATAATGAATTATATAAATGTTGTAACATGTTTAAATCTAAATCTCTAAGAATTTCAATTTGTATAAAACTACTTATTTACAAATCACCCCATATGAAATAATTGTTATTGTATCAAAGTGCAAGCAATTGTACTCACAGAAAATTACAAAAAAAAAATTAAAAGGTAGTTACTAAAATATCTACTAATTATATTGTTAATTATACACATTGACACCCAATTTGGCATTATTAGACTGTTAGGGCCTATTGTATGTTGTAACAAAACTGTCACATTTAATAAGCCACTGCACTTTTTTTTTATAAGAACACATTTTATAAGAACAAAAAAAAAACCAACATCAATATTCATACCTTAAGGTTAATTATTTCTAGTACTGTATGTAACATGTAAGACTAGAGTACAGTAATATTAGGCCTATGTACAATAATAATTTTCCACATATATAAAGTATGTTAAACAAAATAAGAACATTTTGTGCCTGACATCGGCAAAAAAAATAAGTACCGCTGAGCCTGGGAAAAATTTTACTTGCTCTTATAAAAAAAGTGTACTGTCACATTACTGGCAAGTTATATAGTATTGATTATAATTACAGTATATGTGACCTGTTTACTTAGAAATTAGAATATTTTATTTTCACAAAAATAAATACTGCATTTCTTCATTATAGTAGCAGTAAATTAATATTTATATTAAATAGCAGCATTATTGCCATGACCATAAATAGGCCTATTTTAATTATGCACCACTTTCAGTATACATGTACCATTCAACTACAGAACACATCAATAATATACTACGGTGTAATCACATCTTCATGGTGGGCTGAGTATAGAAGTAGAAATGTATTTCCAGCCAATTGTGACTCCTGAAAAATAGAAATATCATTAAATTAAAAAAAATACTTTTGTATACTAAAATACTAAAAATAAAATCAAATTAGACCAAAGTAACTGGCCAATATTTGTATTAAGATGTTGAATTGATAGTTGTAACTATACTCTATCTATTTGCATATTAAATAACCTGGCCTTCTTTTTTTTAACTTATTATATACATAATATTACAATAATAATAATTCGCTGTTGCTATTTTAATGCAGAAATTTGTCTTCCATATAGCCACTTTTTAACATATCTTTTATTACAAAAACATAATAAGCTTGGTTTTCCTAGCTTGCCTTCCTCCGAGAAGGGCTGTGAGTATACAGTACTGTAGTTTCCATCAAATGATGCACTCACGGCCTAGTATTAGGCCATTATACTAACCACTCACCACAGCCACACAGCCCCCGGTAGTGCATCGAGCGCCACCGTGCATAGCAGAACATGTGAATTATGATCTTTTTAAACGTTTGTCGTGGAAAACTGAAATAGGGTACAAGACCGACCTTTATTTCAAACGAAGCATCCTTACTTTTTCGACTTATGGTATATATGTAGAAAATCACTGTATGGGATGCAAATGATACTAATCAGAAATTTGTAAACAAATAGCTGTCAAAATTGTATCGATTCGACGGCTGTCACACAACCTTGGCAAAAACGTCGGAACGCGCAACTCGTACAAAAAATAATCAGAAAATTCAATGACGTAAGGATTCTTAGCTATATAAGGAACTGACTTTACCATATCTGGGTACCTTCCGCTTTTCCAATGTTTATTCAACAGTTATGAAATAGCATAAACTTTATGCTAATGAAATCGCGCGAAATTTAAAAGCCTTTCTGCCGTGTGAAGGCGTCTAGAATCAATGACGTCGCGCTGTGTTGAAAATTTTGCAATAACCATCAAAATCTCCAACGCGGCTCTCCGACTGTAATTGCTTTATGTAAGCACGAGTGTTCCTTATTATTTAAGTCTTTGAAATCTTAATATAGAAATTGATAGCTCTTTTTGCCAAAGTATACAAGGTTTTGTTTACAAGGTGCTTTGGTGTATGAGTATTCTCTTATCATAATTAACTTTATGTTTTTCTTCATATTTCTTAGGTTTCAAAGTGGCTAATTCACAGTGGATGACATTAGTGGATATGTGGAAGAAGCTACAACATTCCAATGTGGTCTCATTACGTGAAGTGTTCACGACCAAGGCCTTTGGGGAACATTGTAAGTACCTCAGTACGGCAACAGTGGTAAAACTATAAACTCCTCATTTCTGGCTAGCGGCTCCCTGTACAAAGAAATGTAATACTTTCAGTATACATGTACCATTCAACTACAAAACACATCAATAATAATCACATCTTCATGGTGGGCTGAGTATCGAAGTAGAAATGTATTTCCAGCCAATTGTGACTCCTGAAAAATAGGAATATCATTAAATTAAAAGAAAACTTTTGTATACTAAAATACTAAAAATAAAATAAAATTAGACCAAAGTAACTGACCAATATTTGTATCAAGATGTTGAATTGAAAGTTGTAACTATACTCTATCTATTTGCATAATAAATAACCTGGCCTTCTTTTTTTTTAACTTATTATATGCATAATATTACAATAATAATAATTCCCTGTTGCTATTTTAATGTCTGAAATTTGTCTTCCATATAGCCACTTTTTAAAATATCTTTTATTACAAAAACATATATAAGCTTGGTTTTCCTAGCTTGCCTTCCTCCGAGAAGTGCTGTGAGTATACAATACTGTAGTTTCCATCAAATGATGCACTCACGGCCTAGTATTAGGCCACTATACTAACCACTCACCACAGCCACACAGCCCGCGGCGGTGCATCGAGCATCGAAATGTAAATAGCTATAGACGTCATTGTATTTTAAACCTACATAGTCAACATAACACCTTGTAATGGCTGTTGACTCTGTTTACAACCTTTGAAGATGTTCTACTTCATCAGAGTACTATTAAATTAATAATAATTTATTTAATAGGAACTACACTTTTCAATCAGTGGCACACTTCTCAATCGAAGGTGCGTCCAAAACAATATGTACAGTAAAGTTTACAAAAAAGAACTTATGCTAAGAAAAAGACAATTCAAATTTTCAAAAGGGACATTAAGGAAAAGTAAAAAAGAAACTGTTCAGCCATATAAAATTAAAAGCAATCTTAAACTAAAAAAAAAAAAACTTAAGGCAAAATAAAGTGATGCAAACAACCACATGAACAATTATACAAACACCATACAAACGTACATGAAATACACATACAGTACATAAGTACATATATATACATACACAACTGTATACCCATAGTCACATGACTACCGTACTCACAATTATAAACATAAAAACATACAGTACATACTCTATACAACACCACTTATCAGGCCAGATAACACAGATGCACATAAAAGTAAATGAAAAGTCATAAAGTAATACAGGACTAAAATCAAAAACGTTCGTTTTCTTTTTTGATCTCATCTCGTTCGTTTTCTTTTTTGATCTCATTTCTCTTTTTCCATGCCCTTGTAGCATACCTTTTACAAAACCTGTCAAATTTTTCTTCAATTTCTTTTGGAAGATTTAGTGAAAAAGAGCCAAGAACATACATTAACTTCTGATCAGTTGTTGAATTTATAAATTGGTTCCAAATTAAACAATACTTCAGTGTATGCTTGTTTCAGACATATCTGATCAAACAATTCTTGCATCCTTAAGCTCTGTCCAGACTATCAGATTTTATTTGACAAAAAACATTTGTATGCACATATATAGCGATGATGTGCCTGTATATGGTCATGATGTGATGTCATGACCATATTTAGGCATGTCACATGTTTTTGTCTAATAAAATTTGAGAATCTGGGCCGGGCTGTATAATGAACTCTAATAGATCTTTATCTCCAATTACCTTCTATCAGGATATCCGTGTTCTTTCCTTCCCAGTGAGTTTACTGAGGGATTTTGATGGGAAATTATAAAGGTTTTGATAGCGTTCTTGGAAAAACCAACACATGCTGTTGGCAAGGACTTATCTGTAGTACATAGTACTTTCCTGTTGTATTATATATCATCACATTGTAATGACCTGTCCCGATTATTAAATTTTCCCAACGTAGTCATCATATATATGATGTGCCTATATATGGTCATAATGTGATGTCATCATAACCATATATAGGCATGTCACATGTTTTTGTCAAATGAAATTTAATAATCTGGACAACGCTCTATAATGTACTTTAACGTTCAGTCTTTATCTCAAGTTCCCCTGTATTAGGATATCCTTCTTTTTTCTTTCCCAACGAGTTCCTGACGGATTATGATGGGAAATTATAAAATTTAATATAGTTCTCAGAAACACTCAATGCCTAATTGGCAAGGACTTGTAGTTTTTCACTGTATCTGCGGTACATTGTCACTTTCATCTGTTTTGTAAAAAATCCTGTCCTGTGAAATTGTATTAGACAAGATTATGTGACATGATGTGATGTCATAATATGATGTCATGACCATATATAGGTGCATTGTGACTATATATGGGCATATAGCAGTTTCTTTAAAAAAAAAAAATTGTGTACTGACCTTTATATCATCAATTTGTAACCCTGAAAAGAAGGCAAGGGAGAAATATTTCATCATGCTACGTTTAAGTTGGAAAGTAATTACACAGTATATACAAGTTAAGCAGTCTGAATATTAGATTTCATTTATTAGCTCATGTGTCCTTAAGCCTTATAATTTGTATTTCTATTTCTGACTAATTAGTAATTTGCTTTAACGTTAACAATTTTCCCTATTGTGTCAGTATTTCTTAATATTTATGAGTAATTTATTTTTCTGATGAAAAAATTACAAATATAACAGGGAAATGTAAGTGTATTTAGTGTACATTTAGGTAAAATCCCCTTTTCGCTTCCTTGGTATTCAGTGTGAAATTGTCCCAGAATTACAAGATACATAATTATTTTTAAAATCTGTTAAATATAATGGAGAAGTGTTGAATTTATTACTATATTTTGGAATTTACAGGGGTTTCCCTTAAGGTTTTTTTTAACTAGCCAAGTGGACCAGTAAATTAATACTTTTACTGGTCTTCAATCCCTTTCACTAGCCACTATCTTGCCAACTTCGGAAGGCCCAAATACCATATTTTTCACATGCTAATCATGCTGCCCCACCCCCACCGATGAAGTAACAATGACAGATACAGAACAATCTTTCTGTTGTCTCTGTATGGGAAATTATGCCGCGAAATATAAATACAGGAATCTATTTGTATGTACACTCTCACAATACGATGTTCGGTTTTCCGCAAAGATCGGTTTGTGGAACTTTTTTATTGAATCCTTTCCGAATAAGGCAGGCCAGTTAGGGCCTAGCCTAGGCCTAGACAATAAAAATAGGCTTAGCAGCATAGGCTAGCCCAGTGAATTCTGTATGACTAGCCTACGAAAAATGTTAACATTTAACATATAATACGTACAGTACCTGTTGTTTAGATGTAGTGCACAGCAAATTGTATTACTGTACCAATAAAATGAATGCTTTTATATTGTTTTTACGTGCATTTTCGGTCTGACATTTTTTCCTAAACTGTAAACAACACATTCTTCGTGGTCACGACGATGCGACTTGTTGTAAATATCAGGTCGCGCCTCCTAAACTCTTCCCGCTAATTGGTTAATTTTTTTCCTGGGGTCATGTAGCTGGGCAAAAATCCCATGTGCTTGGCTGTGGTGACGTCAGATCGCCTAAAGTTTCAAAGTGCGTGACAGCTTGCTGACAGGAACAAGCTTAGCGTAAACCGATTAATCTTTGATTAAACAAATTTATTAAAATGAATAAGAAACCCTCATGGATTTGTTTTATTTTAGAGTAAAATATAAAAATAAATCTAACAAATTAAAATTTAATTCTCTGCAAATTCCCTCCGTAATTAGCAATGTTTTTGGGGAATGTGAGTGTAATTTACATGTAGACTGATATATGAATCTAATGACATACCAAATCCGAATTAA